CTACCAGAGTGTAGGAAAAGAGCCGTTTTTTTATTTTCTGCGAAATAATCACCATGATAATGATTGACTTTATTGCCAGCAATATACTTTTTTCACAGAAAAATGAATAACTTGCTACATCTCTCAGCCAGCCAAACTACTACTCAAGCAGCATGCGTTATACCATCATCTATATCTGTATAGTTCAATGTTAATTGACAATAAATATTGTTGTTTTTGAACTGTACTTTCTTTATTTGATTGGCAGTCAGTTGTTGATTACATGCAGACGTTGATACAGCTTCAGGCTACTTCAATATATATCACACTAATTCATAAAGCAAGTTAGACATTTTGATGTTCCGGACCTTTGCATGGGGACATTTTCTCTAACTGGACCTCGTTGAATACCCCTGATCTACGGCAAATGTGCATTCAGGAAAGCAAGTTCCCGTAAAGGCGAGTGGATTTATGGCAGGCAGTGAACCAACGATAAAAAGAACGGCTCTCACCAAGTACGACTCGGTTCCCTTCGTTCGTACCAAAGAGCCGGTCAAAAGAATCAGATCGTTCGCGAACGTAACATCACTAGCAGCTAGTTTCAATGACTTTGTACACTGCAGGGTAGCTTGTGAATTTACTCCAGGTGGAACTAAAATCTGATTTAACACTTGATTATATTTCACATCATTCATCCACATCTGTAAAGTAACTAAAGGTATTAACTACCATTTTCCTCTGAACTGTAGAAGTACAAAGTAGCAAAACATTGAAATACTTAGGTAAAGTACAAGCATCTCAAAATTGTACCCAAGTATCGTACATAGTAATACATTTTCAAAATGCTCAACAGTGCTGCCAAAATTATAAACTGACTGCTACACAATTAAAATAAATGCTTTTATATATTTCTATTAGATGTGACTCTTTAGCGTTTCTGTTATTAACACTGCTGCTTGAGTTGTTCTGACTGCTAAAATCCTCGGTTATTCCTCATTTTAAAGCCGATATTCCGTGGGGTGGGGGGCTCGGATCCTTGTCACCTTTTTCATACCTGATGAGTTTGCATCCCTGCTTTTAGCAGAAACAAAGGCTACATTAATGTATTAAATCGATGTTAATCCCCTTCAAACGGGACAGTTATACGGTATTGTTAACAGGGAGAAATACCCGGAAGTGCCAAGCAAATGGTCTACCGCGCCTATTGGTCGGTTTTATTGTCAAAATTAGATGTTTTTAATTTATTTTTTAATCGTCACACTCGATTTCGCCGATTTTCTTGTTGCCCTAGCTGGTCGACACCTCTTTTAGCAGAAACAAAGGCTACATTAATGTATTAAAACAATGTTAATCCATGTGTGTGGATCATAGACTGTATATATAAAGGTGTGGATGTGGAATTAACGGACATGACGTTGTGCGATTGCGTTGCCAGGCAACAGCTTCGGTTCATGTTAATTTACAAACTCTTCAACTAGAACCGTAGTTATATTTAAAAACATTTTAGAAGGCCTCACGAAATACTTTAATGTAAATTTAAATTTAAATGTGAAGGAATGTGTGTATAACAAAATACAAACGTCATAAAAAATACCGTAAACAGACGTAGGCAAGGTCCTCAGCTCGGTGATTCGATGGTTCAGCCGCAATGCACATTGGGAAATGGTGTTTATGCGATGTGAAATCCGAAAACATTTTTTAAAAATAAAATAATACTTTATTCCGAGTGTGCTTGCTTTACTCTTTGAAAGTCATCACATAACGGCATTGTAATACACGGTTCGGCTGCATTAAATATGACATATCTGCCGTAGTTCTGTATTTATAGAGCCCTGATGAGAAGACTTCTGGACAAACAGGAAGAACTGCCGCCAAAACTGAAAACGTGACGTGGATCATAAATATATCAGCAATTAAACAACATCTTACATTTCTTTTCACACAATACGTCTCCTTGCAGTATCAATATTAATTCGGCTAACTTTTATATTTGATCCAATTGGTAGATAGGTTATATTTACACCATAACGGTGCACAGCTGACTTGTAGTTTTTAAAGATATTACTGATTTTCTTTGAATATAAGAATGTAAATACTGAGTTGAGAGAATAGTCAGGGGATTTGGGTGATGGGAGACACATCTATGGAATCACAATTCCAATAGCTTACTGTTAAATGACGGATATACCTTTCTGTCTGTGATGTTTTACAAATCAGATATTAGAAGTAAAACATGTGAAATAATATAGCAATATCCTGTACAATTATGTGAAAACATGAATAAAACTACACATCTTCAGATGTTATACATACACAAGTGTCCTACACTAATAATACAAAGTTATTATGGCTGTGTGTACCTTGTGTGCACCGCCTAGTGGTTAAAGCACGTTATTGAATTAGTTGTGTATATGATATGTCAATGAACCTTAGAAAATCTTGAAATCTTGAAAGGGATATGCAAAATAGCCATTATATACAGTCTTTAATTAACTATTAGTAGAGAATAACGAGTAATGAATATACTTTATAGGGATCTGCAGATAAATGTTTAGTCTTCTCAAGCAGCAACTATCAAATATATCTCCTGATTGTTGGCACTTGACAATCACCTTTCCCTGAATTTTACTCAGGTGTAACTAAAGCCTGATTTAAGGGTTGTTTATATTTCACATCATTAATCAGAACCTGCAAAGTAACTAAAATAAATGTAGTGGAGTAAAAATACCAGGTTAACCTCTGAATTGTAGTGGAGTAGAAATGCTGTTTTGTTTAGTAATGGATATTGAATATGGAATACAGGTTTTGACAAGACCTGGTGTAACAATAATCAAAAAGGACATTAAAAGAGCTCCAGATGTTAATGATCTAAACAAAACAGCACACCTGAAATGTATATTTAAATACTTTATTAAAGGTAGGGTAGGTACGTTTGAGAAACTGGCTCGACATAGCAATGAATATCTTAAGTGCTTTGACAAAAAATCCATTAAAAAAATATCATCTGTGGAAGCCGTAGTACTGTAAAAAGTACGACCAATCATTTTAGCCGGCCCGGCTAAAATAACTGGATGGCCTACCTGCCTGTCAGCCTTCCATCTGTGCACAAACTTATCTCGTGCCCTCATTGGTCATGTGCGCGTTCGTGTGTGTTGGAGGAGGGGCTCTGTGAGGAAGTGGAAGATTTTCTCCGGTTGTGTATTTTCAAATTCTAGCGATCTCGAGCCGGTTTCTCAAACTTACCTACCCTACCTTTAAGGGCAGTGAATTCGTTTTTTCTGTATGTTTTTCAAATCAGTGTTATACAGTAAGTGTCATAGACAGTGTTACATTGCTATTATTATCCTTAAAATATATGTAAAACAAAACCACTTATGATCTTTTTATTTGAGTGGTTTACAGTTAATTCTGTTAATTCTGTTTTTGCTATTGATGGTTTCATTTTTGTGAAAAATAATAAAATAATAAAATTCAATAACGTGCTTTAACCACGAGATGTGCCTTTCTATCAGCTGTGCACCGTTATGATGTAAATACAGCCTATCTACCAATTGGATCAAATATAAAAGTCAGCCGAATTAGTATTGATACTGCAAGGAGACGTATTGAGTGAAAAGAAATGTAAGATGTTGTTTAATTGCTGATATATTTATGATCCACGTCACATTTTCAGTTTTGGCGGCAGTGCTTCCTGTTTGTCCAGAAGTCTTCTCATCAGGGCTCTATAAATAGAGAACTACGGCAGATATGTAATATTTAATGCAGCCGAACCGTGTATAACAATGCCGTTATGTGATGACTTTCAAAGAGAAAAGCAAGCACACTCGGAATAAAGTATTATTTTTTTTTTATAAATGTTTTCGGATTTCACATCGCATAAACACCATTTCCCAACGTGCATTGCGGCTAAACCATCGAATCACCGAGCTGAGGACCTTGCCTACGTCTGTTTCCGGTATTTTTTATGACGTTTGTATTTTGTTATACACACATTCCTTCACATTTAAATTTAAATTTACATTAAAGTATTTCGTAAGGCCTTCTAAAATGTTTTTAAATATAACTACGGTTCTAGTTGAAGAGTTTGTGAACCGAAGTTGTTGCCTGGCAACGCAATTGCACAACGTCACGTCCGTTAATTCCACATCCACACCTTTATATATACAGTCTATGATCCACACACATGGATTAACATCGATTTAATAGGCGCGGTAGACCATTTGCTTGGCACTTCCGGGTATTTCTCCCTGTTAACAATACCGTGTAACTGTCATGTTTGAAGGGGATTAACATCGATTTAATACATTAATGTAGCCTTTGTTTCTGCTAAAAGAGGTGTCGACCAGCTAGGGCCACAAGAAAATCGGCGAAATCGAGTGTGACGATTAAAAAATTCATTAAAAACATCTAATTTTGACAATAAAAACCGACCAATAGTCTTGGTAGAGCATTTGCTTGGCACTTCCGGGTATTTCTCCACTGGTTGGGCCATGTTAACAATACAGTGTAACTGTCACGTTTGAAGGGACGAAACCGTGACATATTCACGTCTCCCAGCATGGTAGATCGTCACATGTTCACGTCTTGCCGTGATACTGGGTTGTATTTAGCTTGTGTTGGATTTTGTGAACCAGTCTCAAAATGCTCCAGGACTTTCATTTTTGCATCAGATTCAGCTAGGCTGGGGTCCATTGTTTCTTTTTCTTTTTTCTTCAATTAATCCACATAAAATAAAGTAATTAATATTTCCCGGAACAGTTCCTTGTGAATCCGTTTTTTCTGCCAAACATTCCTTTAACGTCCGCTTCCTTAACTGCGTGATAGTTCATTTATGCATTTCATTGTTCAAGCATTCCAACAGCAATTGCGGATAGGCCTATATCCATTTCATATCCTCCTCAGTAAGCATCATGGTATCACTGGATCGATTTCCCGTTTTGGGGATCTCTTTGTAAACAGTTTCATTCATAAGGCAGCACTGTGGATCCTCACAGGCTACTCTTAAATGAATCGAGGGAGGCAGCACAGAGCTCACAGCAACTCTTTTCCCCAAGACTACCAGTCATCCTCCGAGGACAAAAGCCTGTCTCAACTGGAAAAGGTAAGACAATGATGATGACTATCATGATAGAGGCAGTTGTGGTGGTGATTAATAGCAGTACAGTACTTATTTGTATAAAGTGATTACCTTGGATTTTTCATTTTACAACCCAAATGTAATCCTTTCGCCTCTATCTACTTGTCTTTCATCCTTTCTTATAACTAAGAATTGTGATTTTAAAAAGGTGTCTATTATCATCTGACCGGGGACAACAGCTGGAAATTAGCAATGTTGGTTAAAGCTGCCCCATTTACATGTGTTTGTGACAGTTGATCAATGGGGACTGTCCAGGACACTATAAACAAATAAACTAAACTAAACTAAACTTTGAGGGTTAAAAGTGACTTTTTATGTCATAATCACAGCCACCACAAAGAAGGAAAGTAATGACGCTGAAAATCAACCGTCTTTTAATCTAATCTGATTTCTGACCTGAATATTTGTGACTGCGTCAAAAATATCATGCGTCCATGATTGAGGAAGCCAGTAGAGGAGGTTTGATGCACTTTGTCCAAATATCTCTTTTGTCCTTTTCAGAAGGTGTTGGTCTTATCTTCAGGTTGTGGCCCATGATGAGGATGACTCTGGGTATGATGCTGCTCCTGCTAATGCAAACGTTTTTAGGATGGACAGGTAAAGTATCTTTCATATCTTTCCTTTACTGATCAATTGTTTTATAGTCAAAAGGATCATTTGAGAATTACCCAGTCTGTCTCCTTTCTCCTCCAGTTTCATGGAACTTTTTTAGAGTCTTTTAGCTCCTTGTTTTGGCAATATAGAACAAGGTCCAAGTGGCCAAACAAATGAGTTAAAGGTGCATTCAAAGCAGTTTATCTCAAAATCAAAGTAAAAACTTGTACAATCTACACAAAACTAAGGGGGCAGCCTAAGGTAATCAATCAAAAAAGGAAACGACTTGGCTGAGCAGAGGACGAATGAAACTGACATTATTAGCTAATGTCAATATCAACAATCAATACGTTGAGTTTCTTCTCTTTTGTCTAATGTTTGTCAAATGTTTAATCCTTTTAGCTGTGGTTGGTTCCACCACCTCTTGAAAAAAAAGAGGTGGTGGAACCAGTTTTTCCAGGCTTTTGCTAAGTAATGGTGCAATTGAAAGCTAAGTAGCAATGTGGGTTAACAGATATTTGGCTTCCTCTTTAACCAGGAACTGCCGCAGCAAATACACCTACTCCACCTCCACCAAATCCTCCAGTGAGGCTGGTCGGCTCCACCAACTCCTGCTCCGGCAGAGTGGAGATCTTTCACAACGGCACGTGGGGAACAGTGTGTGACGACAGCTGGGATCTGAACGATGCTCACGTGGTTTGTGGACAGCTGGGTTGTGGCCGGGCTGTAGAAGCAAAACATAACTCACATTTTGGACAGGGAACTGGACCCATTTGGTTGGATGATCTTCGGTGTTCAGGGAACGAGACATCACTTAAGGACTGTGTTCATTCGGGAATAGGATCCCACAACTGTCGTCACCACGAAGATGCTGGCGTCATTTGTGAAGGTAATTGTGCATGCATACAGTCAACACCTACAGTTAGTAATGTTCATATACAACTAGAGATGGCACTTTATACCCTAGCACCAACCGACACACAAGAGAGATTTTATAAGGTTTTTAAAGGTCGCCTATTATGCAAAATCCACTTTTTCATGTCACTTCTACATATACATGTGTCCCTTCTGTGTTAAGAGACTCAGAACGTTTCAGGATCAAAGATTCGCTCTCTTTTAGTCCTGATCCATTTATATAAAAACCTGTCTGAAAATGAGCTGATCAGATTTTGGCCCCTTTGTGATGTCATAACTTTTTTTTTTGGGTTGAGTAACTATGAGTCAGTAACCAACCAAGGTAACCCCCCCCCCCCCACACACCTTATCACCTGAATCTCCTCCTAGAGCACCATTGTTTTTTTTTCTAACCAATCATCTCTCAGAGGGGCGTGGCCAGCAGCAGCTCATTAGCATTTAACCTGTTACGCACGGCCCCCCCGGTACCGGGCGGATAAACGCGTCATTTGCAGGAAACAACGTCTAAGGAATCTTAATATTTAATAAACTATGAATGTTTTATATCCATGTAACGGGAAGAAACTCAGCTAACTGATCTTTTTAATTTTTTTTCTCCAAAAAAAACCACAATGCTAACACTCAGCCTCTGAATTAACCACAAGCTAATAAATGTAACCTAAAACGGCACCTAAACTCACAATAACTCCCTTATTACTTATCCTAGATGCACAGCCAACCACTCGTTTTGCATCAGCTGGAGACACAGAATCGTTTGGTGCCCACCTCAACACTCAGTGATAAACATTTTCCACGCTATAAACTAAAGCGTACATCATAACATGTGGAGCTAGGTAGCTAGAAACGCTAACATGGCTTACCTTGGTCAAAACTGGTCTTCAATGGCATTAAAACGATAAAAAAACGATGCTGCAGTTAATCCATAGGTTAATCCAATGTGTCTGTGTCCTCTTTGAAATTATTTCTGATAATCCATAAGCAATAAAACTGCTTTTTCGTTTCCAAATGCCAGAGCTAGAGATAGGTCCACTCTGCTGCAAATTTACATGCGCGCAGCCCCCACCTTTTCTCTTCACAACGTGTGTGTGTGGGGGACTCCCCTTTCGATTCTATTGGCTCTAACGGTCAGAAAGAGGTGTCAACCATCAACATCGACCAAGGGGGGCCAGAGATATGGAAAAAAAAACATTTTCACCCAAATCACCTCAGAGGTGGGGTGGTTTTGGCTAAACCTCTCTAAAAAGGTCAAATGTCACTTGTTGTGCATCAATCTTGATACAGGGTACTTATTATATGTTGTACTTTGGATTCCTAAAGCTTTTAGTCTACTAACCCATCATCCAAGGGTAGTTTTCACTATCTGTAAAAAAGAATTTTTGGAAGGACACTATAATTTACAGTTTTTTACTATGTAAAATCTGAATTTTCTTTAAAATAAAAAACATCTATATTGATTCTGACACTTCTACATCCAACTCACAGATGTAACCTTGCTTTGATAAAAGAAATTATTCATATAACCCTTTTAGAAGTTAAGTTGTAGTCATTTGTTTTGGGCATGTCATTTTCGAGCCTGAAACATGAAAAACAGGCTTGGTGCTTAACAGGTTAAAGTTAAAGACACAGAATCAGCACTTTGGAAACAGGGCTGAAACAGAGGGGATTATGGGATGCTGCAATGATCTGTTTGGTATTTGGAACCAAACACTTCAGAGACATGTTTTGTATATAACTGAGAACTATAATACATTGATGAAAAACAGTATAATAGGGGACCTTTAAAGCCAAATTTAAATTGAAAACACAGGTTTATGATCCTAACTTGTACAATACAAAAAATGGGAATTCTCATCCATCGCAACATGCAAATACAAAATGAATGTATTACTTTAGGTTTAAACCTGTTGTTTCTTAACCAAGTAAAAGAGCCCAATGATTCAATTATCAAGTAAAGTTCTGGCGAAGAAATTCAGTTGACTGCTCAATTGCAACCTGAGCTGCCATATGGGTTGACAGATGTTTGTTCTTTGACTTCAGCAGGATCTGCGATAACAATTAAACCAACTCCACCTCCACCAAATCCTCCAGTGAGGCTGGTCGGCTCCACCAACTCCTGCTCCGGCAGAGTGGAGATCTTTCACAACGGCACGTGGGGAACAGTGTGTGACGACAGCTGGGATCTGAACGATGCTCACGTGGTTTGTGGACAGCTGGGTTGTGGCCGGGCTGTAGAATCAAAACATAACGCACATTTTGGACAGGGAACTGGACCCATTTGGTTAGATGATCTACGGTGTTCAGGGAACGAGACATCACTTAAGGACTGTGTTCATTCAGGAATAGGATCCCACAACTGTCGTCACCACGAAGATGCTGGCGTCATTTGTGAAGGTAATTGTGCATGCATACAGTCAACACCTACAGTTAGTAATGTTCATAGACAACTAGAGATGGCACTTTATACCCTAGCACCAACCGACACACAAGAGAGATTTTATAAGGTTTTTAAAGGTCGCCTATTATGCAAAATCCACTTTTTCATGTCATTTCTACATATACATGTGTCCCTTCTGTGTTAAGAGACTCAGAACGTTTCAGGATCAAAGATTCACTCTCTTTTAGTCCTGATCCATTCATATAAAAACCTGTCTGAAAATGAGCTGATCAGATTTTGGCCACTTTGTGATGTCATAACTTTTTTTTTGGGTTGAGTCAATAACCAACCAAGGTAACCCCCCCCCCCCCACACACCTTATCACCTGAATCTCCTCCTAGAGCACCATTGTTTTTTTCTTCTAACCAATCATCTATTAGAGGGGCGTGGCCAGCAGCAGCTCATTAGCATTTAAAGCTACAGACACAGAATCAGCACTTTGGAAACAGGGCAGAAACAGAGGAGATTATGGGATGCTGCAATGATCTGTTTGGTATTTGGAACCAAACACTTCAGAGACATGTTTTGTATATAACTGAGAACTATAATACATTGATGAAAAACAGTATAATAGGGGACCTTTAAAGCCAAATTTAAATTGAAAACACAGGTTTATGATCCTAACTTGTACAATACAAAAAATGGGAATTCTCATCCATCGCAACATGCAAATACAAAATGAATGTATTACTTTAGGTTTAAACCTGTTGTTTCTTAACCAAGTAAAAGAGCCCAATGATTCAATTATCAAGTAAAGTTCTGGCAAAGAAATTCAGTTGACTGCTCAATTGCAACCTGAGCTGCCATATGGGTTGACAGATGTTTGTTCTTTGACTTCAGCAGGATCTGCGATAACAATTAAACCAAGTCCACCTCCACCAAATCCTCCAGTGAGGCTGGTCGGCTCCACCAACTCCTGCTCCGGCAGAGTGGAGATCTTTCACAACGGCACGTGGGGAACAGTGTGTGACGACAGCTGGGATCTGAACGATGCTCACGTGGTTTGTGGACAGCTGGGTTGTGGCCGGGCTGTAGAAGCAAAACATAACTCACATTTTGGACAGGGAACTGGACCCATTTGGTTAGATGATCTACGGTGTTCAGGGAACGAGACATCACTTAAGGACTGTGTTCATTCAGGAATAGGATCCCACAACTGTCGTCACCACGAAGATGCTGGCGTCATTTGTGAAGGTAATTGTGCATGCATACAGTCAACACCTACAGTTAGTAATGTTCATATACAACTAGAGATGGCACTTTATACCCTAGCACCACCTATTATGCAAAATCCACTTTTTCATGTCATTTCTACATATACATGTGTCCCTTCTGTGTTAAGAGACTCAGAACGTTTCAGGATCAAAGATTCACTCTCTTTTAGTCCTGATCCATTCATATAAAAACCTGTCTGAAAATGAGCTGATCAGATTTTGGCCACTTTGTGATGTCATAACTTTTTTTTTGGGTTGAGTCAATAACCAACCAAGGTAACCCCCCCCCCACACCTTATCACCTGAATCTCCTCCTAGAGCACCATTGTTTTTTTCTTCTAACCAATCATCTATTAGAGGGGCGTGGCCAGCAGCAGCTCATTAGCATTTAAAGCTACAGACATAGAATCAGCCCTTTGGAAACAGGGCTGAAACAGAGGGGATTATGGGATGCTGCAATGATCTGTTTGGTATTTGGAACCAAACACTTCAGAGACATGTTTTGTATATAACTGAGAACTATAATACATTGATGAAAAACAGTATAATAGGGGACCTTTAAAGCCAAATTTAAATTGAAAACACAGGTTTATGATCCTAACTTGTACAATACAAAAAATGGGAATTCTCATCCATCGCAACATGCAAATACAAAATGAATGTATTACTTTAGGTTTAAACCTGTTGTTTCTTAACCAAGTAAAAGAGCCCAATGATTCAATTATCAAGTAAAGTTCTGACAAAGAAATTCAGTTGACTGCTCAATTGCAACCTGAGCTGCCATATGGGTTGACAGATGTTTGTTCTTTGACTTCAGCAGGATCTGCGATAACAATTAAACCTACTCCACCTCCACCAAATCCTCCAGTGAGGCTGGTCGGCTCCACCAACTCCTGCTCCGGCAGAGTGGAGATCTTTCACAACGGCACGTGGGGAACAGTGTGTGACGACAGCTGGGATCTGAACGATGCTCACGTGGTTTGTGGACAGCTGGGTTGTGGCCGGGCTGTAGAAGCAAAACATAACTCACATTTTGGACAGGGAACTGGACCCATTTGGTTAGATGATCTACGGTGTTCAGGGAACGAGACATCACTTAAGGACTGTGTTCATTCAGGAATAGGATCCCACAACTGTCGTCACCACGAAGATGCTGGCGTCATTTGTGAAGGTAATTGTGCATGCATACAGTCAACACCTACAGTTAGTAATGTTCATATACAACTAGAGATGGCACTTTATACCCTAGCACCACCTATTATGCAAAATCCAATTTTTCATGTCTTTTCTACATAAACATGTGTCCCCTCGGTGTTAAGAGACTCAGAACGTTTCAGGATCAAAGATTCGCTCTCTTTTAGTCCTGATCCATTTATATAAAAACCTGTCTGAAAATGAGCTGATCAGATTTTGGCCCCTTTGTGATGTCATAACTTTTTTTTTTGGGTTGAGTAACTATGAGTCAATAACCAACCAAGGTAACCCCCCCCCCCCCCCCACCACCTTATCACCTGAATCTCCTCCTAGAGCACCATTGTTTTTCTAACCAATCATCTCTCAGAGGGGCGTGGCCAGCAGCAGCTCATTAGCATTTAAAGCTACAGACACAGAATCAGCACTTTGGAAACAGGGCTGAAACAGAGGGGATTATGGGATGCTGCAATGATCTGTTTGGTATTTGGAGCCAAACACTTCAGAGACATGTTTTGCATATAACTGAGAACTATAATACATTGATGAAAAACAGTATAATAGGGGACCTTTAAAGCCAAATTTAAATTGAAAACACAGGTTTATGATCCTAACTTGTACAATACAAAAAATGGGAATTCTCATCCATCGCAACATGCAAATACAAAATGAATGTATTACTTTAGGTTTAAACCTGTTGTTTCTTAACCAAGTAAAAGAGCCCAATGATTCAATTATCAAGTAAAGTTCTGGCAAAGAAATTCAGTTGACTGCTCAATTGCAACCTGAGCTGCCATATGGGTTGACAGATGTTTGTTCTTTGACTTCAGAAGGATCTGCGATAACAATTAAACCAACTCCACCTCCACCAAATCCTCCAGTGAGGCTGGTCAGCTCCACCAACTCCTGCTCCGGCAGAGTGGAGATCTTTCACAATGGCACGTGGGGAACAGTGTGTGACGACAGCTGGGATCTGAACGATGCTCAGGTGGTTTGTGGACAGCTGGGTTGTGGCCGGGCTGTAGAATCAAAACATAACGCACATTTTGGACAGGGAACTGGACCCATTTGGTTAGATGATCTACGGTGTTCAGGGAACGAGACATCACTTAAGGACTGTGTTCATTCGGGAATAGGATCCCACAACTGTCGTCACCGCGAAGATGCTGGCGTCATTTGTGAAGGTAATTGTGCATGCATACAGTCAACACCTACAGTTAGTAATGTTCATATACAACTAGAGATGGCACTTTATACCCTAGCACCACCTATTATGCAAAATCCAATTTTTCATGTCTTTTCTACATAAACATTTGTCCCCTCGGTGTTAAGAGACTCAGAACGTTTCAGGATCAAAGATTCACTCTCTTTTAGTCCTGATCCATTTATATAAAAACCTGTCTGAAAATGAGCTGATCAGATTTTGGCCCCTTTGTGATGTCATAACTTTTTTTTTTGGGTTGAGTAACTATGAGTCAATAACCAACCAAGGTAACCCCCCCCCCCCACCACCTTATCACCTGAATCTCCTCCTAGAGCACCATTGTTTTTCTAACCAATCATCTCTCAGAGGGGCGTGGCCAGCAGCAGCTCATTAGCATTTAAAGCTACAGACACAGAATCAGCCCTTTGGAAACAGGGCTGAAACAGAGGGGATTATGGGATGCTGCAATGATCTGTTTGGTATTTGGAGCCAAACACTTCAGAGACATGTTTTGCATATAACTGAGAACTATAATACATTGATGAAAAACAGTATAATAGGGGACCTTTAAAGCCAAATTTAAATTGAAAACACAGGTTTATGATCCTAACTTGTACAATACAAAAAATGGGAATTCTCATCCATCGCAACATGCAAATACAAAATGAATGTATTACTTTAGGTTTAAACCTGTTGTTTCTTAACCAAGTAAAAGAGCCCAATGATTCAATTATCAAGTAAAGTTCTGGCAAAGAAATGCAGTTGACTGCTCAATTGCAACCTGAGCTGCCATATGGGTTGACAGATGTTTGTTCTTTGACTTCAGCAGGATCTGCGATAACAATTAAACCAACTCCACCTCCACCAAATCCTCCAGTGAGGCTGGTCGGCTCCACCAACTCCTGCTCCGGCAGAGTGGAGATCTTTCACAACGGCACGTGGGGAACAGTGTGTGACGACAGCTGGGATCTGAACGATGCTCACGTGGTTTGTGGACAGCTGGGTTGTGGCCGGGCTGTAGAAGCAAAACATAACTCACATTTTGGACAGGGAACTGGACCCATTTGGTTAGATGATCTACGGTGTTCAGGGAACGAGACATCACTTAAGGACTGTGTTCATTCAGGAATAGGATCCCACAACTGTCGTCACCACGAAGATGCTGGCGTCATTTGTGAAGGTAATTGTGCATGCATACAGTCAACACCTACAGTTAGTAATGTTCATATACAACTAGAGATGGCACTTTATACCCTAGCACCAACCGACACACAAGAGAGATTTTATAAGGTTTTTAAAGGTCGCCTATTATGCAAAATCCACTTTTTCATGTCATTTCTACATATACATGTGTCCCTTCTGTGTTAAGAGACTCAGAACGTTTCAGGATCAAAGATTCACTCTCTTTTAGTCCTGATCCATTCATATAAAAACCTGTCTGAAAATGAGCTGATCAGATTTTGGCCACTTTGTGATGTCATAACTTTTTTTTTGGGTTGAGTCAATAACCAACCAAGGTAACCCCCCCCCACACCTTATCACCTGAATCTCCTCCTAGAGCACCATTGTTTTTTTCTTCTAACCAATCATCTATTAGAGGGGCGTGGCCAGCAGCAGCTCATTAGCATTTAAAGCTACAGACATAGAATCAGCCCTTTGGAAACAGGGCTGAAACAGAGGGGATTATGGGATGCTGCAATGATCTGTTTGGTATTGGAACCAAACACTTCAGAGACATGTTTTGTATATAACTGAGAACTATAATACATTGATGAAAAACAGTATAATAGGGGACCTTTAAAGCCAAATTTAAATTGAAAACACAGGTTTATGATCCTAACTTGTACAATACAAAAAATGGGAATTCTCATCCATCGCAACATGCAAATACAAAATGAATGTATTACTTTAGGTTTAAACCTGTTGTTTCTTAACCAAGTAAAAGAGCCCAATGATTCAATTATCAAGTAAAGTTCTGACAAAGAAATTCAGTTGACTGCTCAATTGCAACCTGAGCTGCCATATGGGTTGACAGATGTTTGTTCTTTGACTTCAGCAGGATCTGCGATAACAATTAAACCAACTCCACCTCCACCAAATCCTCCAGTGAGGCTGGTCGGCTCCACCAACTCCTGCTCCGGCAGAGTGGAGATCTTTCACAACGGCACGTGGGGAACAGTGTGTGACGACAGCTGGGATCTGAACGATGCTCACGTGGTTTGTGGACAGCTGGGTTGTGGCCGGGCTGTAGAATCAAAACATAACGCACATTTTGGACAGGGAACTGGACCCATTTGGTTAGATGATCTACGGTGTTCAGGGAACGAGACATCACTTAAGGACTGTGTTCATTCAGGAATAGGATCCCACAACTGTCGTCACCACGAAGATGCTGGCGTCATTTGTGAAGGTAATTGTGCATGCATACAGTCAACACACATGCAGTTAGGTATTGCTCACATAATGTGTACCTATAGATTGCATCTTATATACTCTATCACCAACGAAATAGAAAAGTAGAATAGAATATAGAATATAATCCGTTATTGTCATTATACAGGTACAATGAGATGAGTAGAGCTGCTCCTTTCTTTTTAAGGTGCCATAAAAAAATACAAAAAAACAAACAAGAGACGTACAAAATTCAGGAGAAGACAACATACAAACAACAAGCATTCATACTTCAATATGCAGATACAGTTAAAGTGCAGGAATATATCAGTTTAAGTACAATAAACATGTTTGAATTTGTTTAAAAATATATATATTGTGTCAGTGCAAGCTGGAGTTTAGTGCAATTATTTAATTTATTTTACAATAAGCCACAACTGCAATTAAAACAGGTTTCTTGACTTCACAGAAAGACCGCCTCTCCTCCAGACTGCCCATCTTGTTTGTTCCAGATACCAGATCAAAGTTGGTTTGAGATTGATAAGTCTGCAGGCAGCTGGTCTGCAACCTTTCTCTGGTCACATGGCCGTCCCTTTCTGTTCTGGATACTTTGTGCGTGACTCCACTATTTGGTATCAAGTGCCACGTCAGACTGGCCAATGTGGAACTGTAATGAGGGTGAGTTGAACTACCTTTTTATCACCTCAATAAACCCTTGAGATTTACCATTACAATACAGCTTGACTAAAAGACTTTAACTAACCCATCTGAATGTCATCAACACGTGGCAGCCATGATATGACCAAACCAAATTCCTTTTTCAAATCAAGGACAACAATATATATAAGTATACTATTCTGATATGTAAGTAAGTAAGTAACATTTATTTATAAAGCGCTTTTCACAGACATAGTCACAAAGTGCTTGACGAAACATTAAAACATCATAGGAATCATAAAATAATAAATGACCACACAAGTCACGTTAAGAAGTGCTAAAAACACAATAAAAACACAATAAAAACATAGGATAAAATAGAACGAACACAGTTTATCCAAACGCCATATGTCTTTTAAGTTAAACTAAGTACAAAGATCGTTTCTCTATCACATTCTGGTTTGTACTGTAACCACATGACTGGTTGAATAGACACCTGATTGATCTTTCATTCATCCTCTTTCTTTCAGACCAACACCACCCATGCCATCTATTCCAATAACTTGTTTTTCGACCCTCCAAGTAACGGTTACCTGGTTCTACCTCAGATTATTCCGTTCTCCTGTGCATATCCCTTAGAAACCAATATCAGCCTGAATGCTGCAATCCGACCACTGCTGTGAGTCTATAAGTGAAACAACACACTTGACAATCTATCATCATTTCAGGGGGTAAATACATCTCTAATGGTCCTTCTTTCTCTTCTTAAAGCAATGGAGGTGGCCTCATTGGGTCAGGAAACAGAGCCACAGCCTACATGGCGCTTTTCCACGACTCAAACTTTTCATACAGATACCATTCGGGCCTGGTCACTCTGCCGATGGGCTCTCCTTTGTATGTGCAAGTGTTTGTTTCTGAGAATGATCCAAACTTTGCTGTTGTTCTGGAGGACTGCTATACTACTAACTCCTCAAATCCTCAAGACCACATGCGATACTATCTCATTCATTCCAGGTATGTGTCTTTCCCTGAGGTGGGAAGTAGTGGAGTACAAATACTTTGTTACTGTACTTAACCTGTTACGCACGGCCCCCCCCGGTACCGGGCGGATAAACGCGTCATTTGCAGGAAACAACGTCTAAGGAATCTTAATATTTAATAAACTATGAATGTTTTATATCCATGTAACGGGAAGAAACTCAGCTAACTGATCTTTTTTAAAAAAAAAATTAAAAAAAACCCACAATGCTAACACTCAGCCTCTGAATTAGCCACGAGCGAACACATTTAACCTAGAGACACAGAATCTGGGGGTGCCCACCTCAACACTCAGTGATAAACATTTGCGACGCAATAAACGAAAGCGTACATCATAACATGTGGAGCTAGGTAGCTAGAAACGCTAACATGGCTTACCTTGGTCAAAACTGGTCTTCAATGGCATTAAAACGATAAAAAAAAGATGCTGCAGTTAATCCATAGGTTAATCCAATGTGTCTGTGTCCTCTTTGAAATGATTTCTGATAATCCATAAGCAATAAAACTGCTTTTTCGTTTCCAAATGCCAGAGCTAGAGATAGGTCCACTCTGCTGCACATTTACATGCGCGCAGCCCCCACCTTTTCTCTTCACAACGTGTGTGTGTGGGGGCCTCCCCCTTCGATTCTATTGGCTCTAACGGTCAGAAAGAGGTGTCAACCATCAAAATCGACCAAGGGGGGCCAGAGATATGGAAAAAAAAACATTTTCACCCAAATCACCTCAGAGGTGGGGTGGTTTTGGCTAAACCTCTCTAAAAAGGTAAAATGTCACTTGTTTTGCATCGATCTTGATACAGGGTACTTATGATATGTTGTACTTTGGATTCCTGTAGCTTTTAGTCTACTAACCCATCATCCAAGGGTAGTTTTCACTATCTGTAAAAAAGAATTTTTGGACGGACACTATAATTTACAGTTTTTTACTATGTAAAATCTGAATTTTCTTTAAAATAAAAAACATCTATATTGATTCTGACACTTCTACATCCAACTCACAGATGTAACCTTGCTTTGATAAAAGAAATTATTCATATAACCCTTTTAGAAGTTAAGTTGTAGTCATTTGTTTTGGGCAACAAGTACATTTTTCTGATATCAGTACTTTACTCCACTAGTTATTTTTCTAACGACTTTTTACTTTGACTTCTTGCATTTTTAACACAAATACCTGTACTTTCTACTTCTTACATTTTCAAAACAGGTTAGTTACTTTAGTTTTAATCTGTGTTTAGTGGCGTGATCATTATTATTTAGAGTCATTGCGTGCCTATTGATTTTAACACGATCCGTGTATCCATCATTTCCTGGTCTTCTCTAAAGAAGAGGGACCAATGAGAACGTTGTCATGTTGCCGTTGTTCAGCATCGAAACATTAATTAGCTAACAATGACATTATTGTTCTATTCATATAAAGGGAGGTCAGGTACTCTTTAAAACAGCTGGTAGTTGTGGGTACTTTTTACTGAAGGACATTTCAAAGCCTCTTTACTTTTACTTGAGTAAAGAAGTTTAGTCAGTACTTCTACTTTTACCAGAGTAATTTTAAACACGAGTATCTGTACTTCGACTTGAGTAAAGGATGTGTGTACTTTTGCCATCTCTGGTCTTTCCAAAAAATGTAGATGTACTGAAGTGGAATCTTGGATCCTAATGACTCAGTTTAATCTTTTCCAGGTGTCCCACTGACCTTCGCCATGTGTCAGTGATTGAGAACGGTCAGTCTCTTCGTGCCCGTTTCTCTGCCCTGCTCTTCCCTCTCCACGGTGGAAATCCATACGTCTTCCTTCACTGCACCCTACGTCTGTGTGACAAGAGGACCCAAAACTGTGTTCCCGTGAGTCAGATTCTAACTCAATCAAAAATAATTTGTCAGTAATCCATGCTTAATTGATCCTATGTAGCCCCAAACCTTTTCCCACTTCCGCGCATATGTGAAGGTTATTTTGGTTTAGCATCAGCAGCATTGTAAACTAGAGAATGCAATTCCTGAAGAAATTGCTAGTGGGAATGCTTTATGCTGAAAAGCTGACGCTAAACTGCTATGCTGAAATGTAATGTGTAAGAAGAAAGTGAAGATTTTAGATTGAAATGATACATGAACACTGGGGGCTTGAATGTGTGATGAGTGAAGAAAATAAAGTAAAAAGGCTTGGAAAAGCAGCAAAATATTTGAATTGCAAACTTTTGAACTAACTTGATGGTGAATGATCTGTCGCCATGGCAACGGCATTTGATGACACCCCATAATACGCTTAGATGCGTTGATGGCTGCATCGTTACCAAACCTGTGAAGTTTTGGGCCGTTTGGAACATTTTCACTGAAGTTATGAGAAAACCGTGTTTCATGGCGAGAATTATGTTGCCATGGCAACGGCATTTGAAGAAACCCCATATTTGACGTAGAGCTGTTAAGGGCTGGACCGGTGATATACAAGCAAAGTTTGGGGGACGATCGGACCGTTTCCATTGGACTTACAGCGACATCGTGCTTCATGGCGAGTGGTCTGTCGCCATGGCAACGGCATTTGATGACACCCCATAATACGCTTAGATGCGTTGATGGCTGCATCGTTACCAAACCTGTGAAGTTTTGGGCCGTTTGGAACATTTTCACTGAAGTTATGAGAAAACCGTGTTTCATGGCGAGAATTATGTTGCCATGGCAACGGCATTTGAAGAAACCCCATATTTGACGTAGAGCTGTTAAGGGCTGGACCGGTGATATACAAGCAAAGTTTGGGGGACGATCGGACCGTTTCCATTGGACTTACAGCGACATCGTGCTTCATGGCGAGTGGTCTGTCGCCATGGCAACGGCATTTGATGACACCCCATAATACGCTTAGATGCGTTGATGGCTGCATCGTTACCAAACCTGTGAAGTTTTGGGCCGTTTGGAACATTGTGTGTGTGAGAGAGAGAGAGAGAGTGTGTGTGTGTCTGTGTGTGTCAGAGAGAGAGAGAGAGAGAGAGAGAGTGAGAGTGTGAGAGTGTGAGAGTGTGAGAGTGTGTGTGAGAGAGAGAGAGAGAGAGAGAGAGAGTGAGTATGAAATGAACAGTTAAGGTCGGTACACACCCACCTGAGACTAAAGAACGCGTACCGAAGGCGTCCCGACTTTTACGTCAGCTTCGTCAGCTTCGTCGCCTGCGTCGGCTACGCCGCCCGCTACGCCGCCAGCCACGCCGCCCACCTACGAACACACCGCAAATACTTCAGTCGACGAGTGGCAATAACTGTCCTTACCAGCAGGCAGCGGTAGTGTGAACAGCCAATCAGAGTGATTGCTTGGGCCGACTTTCTCTGACCTCCCGCGGCCGATTCAACATGTTGATTCGGCCGCGGGAGGCATCGGGAGGTGTGAAAAGGTGCCGTAAAGAGACGACGGTGCGGGACACACCAACCTGAGTAGGGCGCTGCGAATGCCCGACTGCCTCTGACGGCCTCTGACTCCCAAAATCAGGTTGGTGTGTAGCCAGCTTTAGAACTGACTGCTGTCAGTTGGAGTGATGACATCATCGTGTTCCATTACACAGGTGTTTATAGTTGAGCTAACGAGCTCTGTAGAGATCAAAGGTTTGCATTGTTCTGAATGAGAGATAAACCTCTTACATGTGAACGTTTTGTGGAAGAACCATAACAGATATCTGTGAAATTTTAAAATGTGAAGCATGTCAAGGAAGTTGAGTATCTGAAGTGTAATTCTTGTGTACTTTCGGGTTAATAATGTGGCCTTTTTGGCAGTTTAACTAAAGGTGTGCGGCTGCTGCAGTGAGGAAATATCAGCCTGAAATTACAATGGGTGTTAATGGAGACATGTTGAACGTTTTTGTCACTTCATGCCCTCAAGAGGCATTTTGTTTAATTATTTGTCCTTTTTCAAGCTACGAGATGTTATCCTACGTTTGTCATGAAAAATTATGTCTCAGGAATGTAAGGTTTGGGAATTATGGCAGTTTTAAAAAGAAATATGAAGGCAAATTTCAAGATTTCCTACCCTCTAGCTGTGACATGACGCACTCTAGTTAATGTTAAAATCTGAAGAAAACCTCTTTAACCTGTTACGCACGGCCCCCCCGGTACCGGGCGGATAAACGCGTCATTTGCAGGAAACAACGTCTAAGGAATCTTAATATTTAATAAACTATGAATGTTTTATATCCATGTAACGGGAAGAAACTCAGCTAACTGATCTTTTTAATTTTTTTTTCCAAAAAAACCCCACAATGCTAACACTCAGCCTCTGAATTAGCCACGAGCTAAAAAATGTAACCTAAAACGGCACTTAAACTCACAATAACTCCCTTATTACTTATCCTAGATGCACAGCCAACCACTTGTTTTGGGTCTCCTGGAGACACAGAATAGTTTGGTGCCCACCTCAACACTCAGTGATAAACATTTGCGACGCTATAAACGAAAGCGTACATCATAACATGTGGAGCTAGGTAGCTAGAAACGCTAACATTGCTTACCTTGGTCAAAACTGGTCTTCAATGGCATTAAAACGATAAAAAAACGATGCTGCAGTTAATCCATAGGTTAATCCAATGTATCTGTGTCCTCTTTGAAATTATTTCTGATAATCCATAAGCAATAAAACTGCTTTTTCGTTTCCAAATGCCAGAGCTAGAGATAGGTCCACTCTGCTGCACATTTACATGCGCGCAGCCCCCACCTTTTCTCTTCACAACGTGTGTGTGTGGGGGCCTCCCCCTTCGATTCTATTGGCTCTAACGGTCAGAAAGAGGTGTCAACCATCCAAATCGACCAAGGGGGGCCAGAGATATGGGAAAAAAAACATTTTCACCCAAATCACCTCAGAGGTGGGGTGGTTTTGGCTAAACCTCTCTAAAAAGGTCAAATGTCACTTGTTTTGCATCAATCTTAATACAGGGTACTTATTATATGTTGTACTTTGGATTCCTAAAGCTTTTAGTCTACTAACCCATCATCCAAGGGTAGTTTTCACTATCTGTAAAAAATAATGTTTGGACGGACACTATAATTTACAGTTTTTTACTATGTAAAATCTGAATTTTCTTTAAAATAAAAAACATCTATATTGATTCTGACACTTCTACATCCAACTCACAGATGTAACCTTGCTTTGATAAAATAAATTATTCATATAATCCTTTTAAAAGTTAACTTGTAGTCATTTGTTTTGGGCATGTCATTTTCGAGCCTGAAACATGAAAAACAGGCTTGGTGCTTAACAGGTTAACAAGGTCTGAACAATGTTTAATATCTCTAAAAGTAAGAATAAGATTTAAAAGTTGTGTTACACGAATAATGTCAGAAAGATGTGTAACATTTTAAAGTTGGAATGAGGTTTCTGAGTGAAAGTATGAATGAACAGTTAGCAGTTGAAGTCGCATGAAGATTTGTTGGAGTCTGAAGAATTTCTCCATTGACTTCCAAAATGTGATGTATTATGGGATGTATCTCTGAAATTATGAAAGTTATGAATGAGAAAAGTAATAGCCATCGATTCCCGACCGAGCTGAACGTTTTGATGTTTGAACGGAGTTTCTGCGATGTTCAATGCAGGAGGAGAAGAGGTGCAAAATTCTGGCGGAATAATAAAAATGTTGTCCGTAGAATAACATATAGTTGGAATGCTGTATCAGCATTCCCACTAAATGAGCTGTCATGTGGGTATATATTAATGCTGCGCATTATGGACACAAACGATTTTCACCCATTTATTAATTACATGTTTTAAATTTGATAACACCAATGTGTTTAATACTGGCAACTTCTAATTGTTGGAAAAACGAAAACGTTCCCAATAGAGACGCCCCATAGATCATTTTGCGAAACACAATAGCCAGCATGTGTAGTTCTGGGGGGGGGGGGGGGGGGCGTTCGATTCCAGTTTTGGATAGTCTGCTGTGGTTTCGTTCCATTTCAAAGAGCTGTTTACGCTCGGCGTAACCTTGGCGCACTGCCACTCCAACATCCAATCCCAGAGCTTGAAGTTTAATCACGGGGACTGTAGTCCTAAACGATAGCTGGGGATTATGGGTAGTGTAGTGTCTTCGGCCATCCTAAACTCGATAATGCTCGAAATGTCCCTTATAGGCCTACATCTGATTCCGGTTATTTTTATTTTGAAATTCAGTTCCTGACGGACGCAAAAAAGGCAGAGATTATGGAATTAAACAAATAAATAAAAACAAGGATAATTGTGTGTTATTGTTGAGTAAATAACAGTGTGTTATTTAGAAAATAATAACAAATTAGAAGGAAAAAAAGATTTAAAAAAATACAGATTTCAGTATTTTGAGGCTCTAAGCCCCACTTATTTTCCTCACAGACGGCAAAAAAAGTCCGACATTATACGATTTAAAATAAAAACAATAATTGTGGCTTGATATTGAGTAATAAGATGTTTTTATGAATCCCACAGCTTCCGGTCTTCCAAGACCCGAACGGACAAAAAGACGTGTTGCAGGCACGAAACACACTACCAATAGAAATACATTGCTTTTAAAATCGTTCTGTGTGACACGAAAAAAAGGGGAAAATCGTGTTGGTGAACACGAATCAATAGATTAAATGTCGTGACTATAACACAAAATGCCGTGAGACTGGGTTGCATGTTAACAGTTTATAATAACTCTCACTGCCAGAAGTGCTATTTGGCTATTGAACTTTAGCGAACGTTAGCTATCTATCTATCTATCTATCTATCTAACAAGTTGGCTCGTGAACAATAGTTGTCTAGCTATCAAACTAGCTTGCTAATGTAAGCTATCTACCTAACAAGCTAGCTCGTGAACAATAGTTGTCTAGCTATCAAACTAGCTTGCTAATGTAAGCTATCTACCTAACAAGCTAGCGAAAGTTAGCTAAGTAGGCCTACTTTAGATACGATAAGATAAGATAAGATACCATTTTTGTACAAGCAAGCTAACGTTTGCTATCGAACTAGTTAGCTAAAATAATTTAAGCTGACCGGCAGCAGTAGTTTCACACAGCTACAAACATCGCCTTAAATTCCCAAATATGCATAATTTGGATAAACGTATCTCCTATTGGTAATCTAAATGGTTAACTCTGCCTGAAAAACTTTTAGAAATGAATAACTGTGCATTTAAAAGATAAAAAAACGGTTTATTTGGCAAGTAAAGGTTTATAAAGCTGGCAACACTATGCAAGTTAATAGCACTTACGCTAACCAGAAGTACCAACACAAAGTACGGTCATGTGGAGTCTCCCGAGAGCAGACGAAGCATAAAGTGAATATCCAAACACTGCCTAAATGTGTCTAATCATTATATCCCCTCTCATATCACAGCACTGCAGAAGGACATATCGCTCTGTTGACAGCCAAGATCAGCTCCATCCCGTCACCATTGGACCAATCACGTTTGAGTAATAAATACAACTTGGTAACGTGGAAGATATAAACTGAAGTTACATTTCCTTTTTCCTTTTAATTTTGGCACTTAGGTGATAACTGTAAAATGTTAATTGAGGGAGTCGATAACCACAATTTGATGATGTATTTATTCCGATGTATGATTCCAATCTTATTTAATCTCATGTTGAAGTATTTTGTACTGATTATATTATCAATAGTTGTAAGCCCTGCTTTTGATTTATTCATTTGTTCATAGAGGATAATCTTTGTACCATGACTAGCCGTCTGTCTTTCTGCTCGTAATGTGTTTCCTGCCAAATCATTTTAAGACTTTTGCAGTTTTACAACAATATAATCTTTTTACTTCGATCACGAGTGTGTATGTGATATAATAAATGTATTCTAATGACCTGAGTGTTAAGGTAACTCATCTACGACACACCCTCTGATGTCCTACCTGTCACTGCATTGTGTAGGCTATGATTAAAGATGGTTCTGTGTGAGCTAATCAAAAACAAGATTGTCATGTCTTACCTGTATTGGTTTTTTTCTGTTGTAGAATTTCTCAACATATTTTATCCCGATGTCGGTCATTTCATTTCACGAAAACTGGAAATCTGGTTGTTCAGACAATAAGTAGTCCACATAATATATAAGATAAGATAAGTTAAGATTAAACTTTATTTATCCCCACGGGGAAATTGAGGTATTTACAGAAGCTGAAGAAACACACTCCTCAATGTCAGTTTCAGTGTTTTAATGACAAAGATGACGACACCCTGAAACAGAGTAATACAGCGAGGTAAGCTGACAAAGTATTACATACATGCATGTCATCATTAACACAACACAAATATATGCTACGACACCACGTATATATACACCAACAATAGTGGGAACAGTCTTACATGTGTGAGTGGATGAACGTCTCGACACGAGGCGGAGTGAATGAACAATGTTTGAACTAAAATGGCCGCTCAGTACTACCGGGTCAGAGCGCGGCATATCCTGTGCGACAGCAGTGACACGCTGCCCTCTAGTGGCCGGCGATAAACTCTTCATCCCCCCCAGACCGGAAAGCTATAGGCTGGAATAGATTAACGGTCTAAATCCCGTATCCAGCTGCCGGACTCGGGCTCGTAGCGTGCCGGCGGCTTCCTCACGCGGCCCGGCCGAGTGGGCTGGGGCAGCGCCGGCGGCGACTGCGGCACCGGGAGCGGTGCGCCCAGGAAGGCACCCGTAGGAACGGCGAGGTCAGAGGACGCCTCATCAGCAAGCGCCGGTGGGGAAGCGCCCATAGCCGAGTCGCGGGGACCATCAGCCGGCCGCTGAGCAAGCCCCTGGGGCGTCGCCCAGCCCGGGCGGATAGGTGGGGGCTGATGTCCCAGGGCAGCGGGCGGCGGCGGCGACGGCGTGGCCGACTGCTCATGGGCGCAGGGTGTGGCCGGCGTGTAGGCACGGAGGAACCGCCGGTTGCGCAGTGTCAGACGTCCCGAACCGTCAACCCTGATCCGATACTGGTCATGGTCCAGCGACTCCACCACGATCCCTGACCTGTCCCATTTGCGGGGGCTCGGGCCTTGCTGGTTCTGGAGGAATACCCTTTCGCCGAGCGCCAATGGGCGGAGCGGTCTTGAGTGAGTCCCCAGAGACTCGGTGGTACGGGACATACGGGTCCGAAGGGCGTCCTCCTTCGCCGCCCATGCCTCGCGCCATAGCGGGCGGATATGCGGGTTCGAGAACTTCTCGAGGCGGTTCACGAAGGAGAGCGAGCCACGAAGGGGGCGGCCGAAGATGATCTGCGCCGGCGAGAGGTTGCAGTCGGGGTCAGGCGTGTTCCGCAACTGCAGCATAGCACGCAGGAAGCGGTCCTGATCAAGGCTGCCCGACGGGCCGGTGTTGAACATCAGGAGGCGCTTAGCAGTCTTAACCGCAACTTCCGCCCTCCCATTCGACTGCGGAAAGCTAACGGAGGACACACGGTGTTTGACGTGCCATAAGCGGAGGAAGTCCTCAGTGTGGCTCGCCTTGAATTCCGGACCACCGTCGCTCGAGAGCTCCTCCGGTACGCCGAAGGTAGCGAAGAACGAGCGGAGGTGTTGGACCAGGCCAGCTGAGCCCGCCAGGGCAGTACCCGCCGTAGAACTCAGGACCTCTACCCAGCACGAAAGCCGATCCCCGACAACTAGGTAGTGGCGGCCCCCATAGTCGAAGAAGTCAGCAAACACCGCCTCGAATGGCGTGGACGGGGGTGGTGACGGCAGGGGGGGTGTAGCCGCCTGTGACGGAGCATTGCGGTTGCAGTCTGCACACCCGTCCCTGGTGGCCTGAATGTCCCCGGACATCCCGGGCCAGTAAACTATGGCTCGGGCATGCTGCCCCATCGCTGAGGTCCCCTGGTGAGTGGCATGGAGATGCCGAAGGACTCTCCCACGGAGTGATGGGGGGACCACGACGCGGTCCCGATAGAGCAGGACGCCGTCCTGTGCGTAGACGGACTCACAGACCGATGACAGACTCGCCAGGGCAGGGTCGTTAACGTCAATCCCACCCTCCTGCTCGATGAGTTGGAGGAGGTGGCCGAGGCATCCGTCAGCCGCTGTCTCCCGTGCGAGGAGGGGCCAAGAGACGGCTCCGAGCTCCCGTGCGTCGTCGCGGATGGAGGCCATGAGTGCTGACTCCACGGCGTCAGGCCAGCTCGGCAGCCCCAGTGAGAGGCCGTTCGCTGAGCCCGAGGGGGAAGGATGCCTTGACGTGGCATCAGCGGCATAGTTGCTCTTGCCAGGCAGATGCACAATGTCGAAGCGCCATGGGAAGGTGCGCTGCTTGAGTCTAAACAGACGCGAGTTTGTTATCTCATCCAGCGTACGGTCACCAAAGATCTTCACCAATGGCTTATGGTCGGTGACCACGACGAGGTTGTCGGACCCCTGCATGAAGTACCGCGTCTGTTCCAGACCCCAGGCCACAGCTAGGGCCTCTCCCTCGACGGCCGCATAGCGCTGCTCCGCAGGGGACAGGAAACGCGAACCCGCGAGGGTGATCCTCCATCCTCCTGGACAGCAGTCCGGTATGCCCGAGGCACAGTGACAATGTTGCTGGAGCAGGAAGTAGCCAATGCCACGCATGGACCAGTCAGGGCGGAGGCAGGTACGCTTCTGCATGTCGTAGATCTCCACGCCCTCGCGGATGGCCTCCATTATGGCTTGCTTGGACGTCTGGAAGGCCTCCTCCAGAACGGGGGACCATAGGAACACACAGCGCGGGCTGAGGAACGGCTTAAATGGGGCCATCGTGTCACGCAGCTGGGCGTAGTTAGCCACCTGGTTGACGAGGCCAAACCAACTCCTGATGTCCGTCGTGGAGCCTGGGGTGGGGAAGTCCCGGATGGCGTCCAAGTATTTCGGGAGCGGTTCGATGGTAGATTCCGACACCCTGAAGCCGGCGAAGTCGACGCACCTCTCCGCGAACTGAAGCTTGTCCGGGTTCAACACGATGCCCGACCGGCCGACACGCGTCAGGAAGTCGATGGTCCTCCACCAGTGTTGCTCCAGGTCGGTGTCATAGTGGATGGTGTCATCCACACAACGTTCCTTGCGTTCATAGTCCGAGAGGACGGCGTCAAACCGACGGTTGTAGCCATCCCCTGATGACAGGAAACCCTGTGGTGCCCTGGTGTAGCGCCAACGGCCGAAGGGCGTGATGAAGGTCTCACGTTGGCAGAACTTGTTGAGGGGGGAGAGGTCTACGGTCCTGCGGGGGGAACCGTCGTGCTTCCGAGTGACTACCATGCGATGGCACCACGCCATTGGCTTGCCGTATGGTACGCGTTCAATGACCCCGAGGGCTTCGTCCCGCAGGAGGTCATCGTGGACCCTCCGCTGCCAGTGTAGAGGCACTGTAGCCGCGGTGTGGCATGCCTTAGGCGTAGCTGCGGGGTCCACGTGCATCTCGATAGGTGGCCCCTCCATGCATGGTAGTGCTCTTACATTCCGGGCATGAGGCACGTTTATCCCCGGCCGCAGGGCTCGGGGCGGGGCTCGTCTGTGGAGTCGTCTGCAGGCGCCGGAATGACGACATGGCTGATAGGGAGGACGACGGGAGAGCGTTACGGGCCATCTCTTTGTTCTCGACGAGTGCAATTACATCGTTAACTGGCTTGACCAGGACATCAGATGTCCCCAGCGTCTCGCGGCGTATGTCCGAGTCATAGATGCCATTGAGCAGAACATCACGGATAATGTGGTCGGTATAGTCCACGTCTTTACCACACTCGCATACCGCATTATATGCGCATGTCTCTGCTTTACCCCGCACTCTGGCAGCGAATGCGCGGAATGTCTCGTCGCGTTCCTGGCGTAACTGGAGTAGCTCGGTGCGCAGGACGCATGTAGCGACTGGGATGACAGCTAGGGAACGCATGACGGCGATCAGATCTGGCAAGGGTCCGGAAGCGGCGTCGGGGACGGCTTTCAACAGGCTGTCTCCAAGTACAGGCCCAGCGCACTGAAACAGCTGGAATGGGGCCTGGGCATTCCCTATGCCTGAGCCGGCGCGGAATACATTCCAACGGCGGATGAACACGTTCCATTCCTCTATCGATACGCCCACATCAACTTTGGGCCGATCGAGTCTCGGGCCGTGAGGGGCTGGGGCCTGGGCTGGCGCGGCCATGACAGGCGCTGCGTGCTGGTGGCTAAATCCATGAATCGTCAATAGGGCAATGACGAGTGCTTCAGATACGTCTTCGGATTTGAACTCGCAGCCGGGGGCAGGGCATCCAACAACGACCATGGTGTCGTCATGAAGAAACACACTCCTCAATGTCAGTTTCAGTGTTTTAATGACAAAGATGACGACACCCTGAAACAGAGTAATACAGCGAGGTAAGCTGACAAAGTATTACATACATGCATGTCATCATTAACACAACACAAATATATGCTACGACACCACGTATATATACACCAACAATAGTGGGAACAGTCTTACATGTGTGAGTGGATGAACGTCTCGACACGAGGCGGAGTGAATGAACAATGTTTGAACTAAAATGGCCGCTCAGTACTACCGGGTCAGAGCGCGGCATATCCGGTGCGACAGCAGTGAGACGCTGCCCTCTAGTGGCCGGCGATAAACTCTTCAGAAGCAACAGGGTCAGAGTGAAAAAAACAGGATTCACACAAGGTCAAAAATAAAGATAAAATAGAATACAAATACAAATAATTTAAAGAAAATAACAAATAAAGTGATAAAGTCATATAGTAACTTTTGACTTGAGTGGACATATATACATATTTGTATTGTTAAATATAACATTAAAGTGGACCTATCATGCTATATTTGAATCTCGCAAAACATATCAAATCCTGCATTAACTTTTTTAATTGTAATTTTCAGGCAAGGTTAAAGTGGACCTATCATGCTATATTATAATAATATAGTGTAGGACCATACCTATATAAGGCATATTTATACTATTTTTTTTTTCAAAATACC